AGTAGGATTTAGTAATGTGAGTGCAAATTTCACTGCTTGTTGCGCTAGAGACTGGGATGGAGCGAGCCTAGCAAACTCCGATTGGTTCTATGAACCGGTAAGATGTATGAGACTAATTGTCCTTTAGCTTCTCTTTTGTCTATGATGGCTGATATATGTCTTTTTAGGTTAAAGTGTGTAATCATGCCACAATGATGAGGACTCATATAAGAAGACGGTGAGCGGGAGTATCTGAGAGCTATAAGGTTTTTTTCTTAACCTTGTTGTAAACCTTCTTAGTGTTAACATTTTACCCGAAGCTAGTTCCTTTAGGCACCGCTGGGGTAATTGAACCTGTATTCTTGAGCTTTCGTTCTTGTGACCCAGCAGAGTGTGTTTTATTTTCGTTCATCTAGCTTCTTTTTAGTTGTATTTGGATTGAAGTACCCCTTTGTACTTCTATTAATTTTATTCTTTGTTGCAAAAAAAAAAAAACAAGTCAGACAAGCAAGACTTGTGTGTATTCCAATTAGATAAATCACTAAGCCTAGGGAGATAGCTAATTATCCATATAAAAGTTATCCACATCCTAAAATGATTTATTTTTTTTAAGAATCAAATGTAGGTATTTCATCTATTCATAATTTCTTCAACTCTTTGATGAGTGGTTATAAAATATAAATTAGTGTCACTTCTTTACGTTTGTTTTATAGGAATTATTGTGAAGAGTAGGAGGGAGGTTTGTTCACACACTCCAAAGGAGAAGATAATTATCTATATGAGGATTACTAACCATATATTATGGTTTGTAGTAAGTAGCGGATCTTGATCATTAATTTTAGAGGAGGTAAGTAATATATTATTAATAAATAATAAATAAATATAAAAGGATAAAAGAAGATGAAAATGTAATATGATAAAATTGTAAATATATAAATAAATATATTAAATGATCATTAAATTTGGATGACAAAAATAATAAATTATATGCGAGTAACAAAATTGAGAGGAAGCTAAAAAAATAAAATTATAAATATATAAATAAATATATTAAATAATTATTAAATTTAAGGGAACCAAAATCATAAATTACTTACAAAACTTTGGAGACAACATAAATTTCAAAAAAATCTGTCACTACTTATTCTTATGACTCAAAAATATTTAAAACTATCACTAGCTAAGCCAATACGTGCATTCAATAATCATTATCAAATTTTGGGTGAAGCAGGACAAATATTTTCCAAGCCTTAAAATCTTTTAGATGCCTCTTCAATTTCTCTTGGTTATCCTTTGATGTATAATGTTATAGAATCAACTATTTTAGAACACATAAACAATCTTTTCAATCTCGCGGCTTTAGTGAAAAATAACACAAGATATTTGCATGTTGATTTCAATCTTTATCTTTCTACTTAGCCTTCTTGCACCTTTTACATTCTTTTAAGTCATCATTCACTTCACCTCGATAAAGCATAAAATCTGTCGGACAAACTCATTTTTTTATATAATTGAGATTAAGTTTGTTTGTTTATGACATTCTTCTTTATAGAATGAGTTAGAAAACTTAACTAGCTCAAATATTTCCTTTAAAAGTTCTAGAATCATTGTAATTGCTTTATCACTCATAAAATGCATATATATATATATATATATATATATATATATATATATATATATATATATATATATATATATATATATATTATAAATTATAAATAATTTGTTATTCTATAAACTTTTTTTATTTATCTTTAATTTATCTAAAATTTAATATTATTTTTTATTATCAAAACACATAAATAAAGTGTAAGAATATTTAATATATAATTTTTTTTTACTATACCATCAGGATTTAAACAATGAATGCATTTCCCTGATCTTCATTCATGAATATATTTTATTAATATTTTTATTAATATATTTAGAACATATTTATATTTAACATAACTTTGACAGAAATGTAATTAATAAATTTGCATTTAATTTATTAATTAAAGTACATATTTCAACTAATTATTTATACATTGGTGCCAGGATGATAAATTAAAATAGAAAAGAAGTTTTAATTATTATTTTTTTCGGTTCACTCAGCCAAGACCAATCTTGTTGAGAAAAAGCATTGAACTCGGATCAACTAAATTAATTGGCATTTCCCCTAGGGAAGCATAAAAGTGTGTAGTGCAAAGTTGAAGAACCTACTTTAGCAAAATTGTGGAATTAAGCTACAATTGATTTATTTTTAAGCCTTGTATGTTTCAATTGTGTTTGTTGTATATAAATGTTTGGGATAACCAAAAGATAAAGGTTATTATTTACTTTTATACTTTTTAGATCTAGATTTCATATTTCTTTCAAGGTTTTCTCCAAAGTTCTTAGAGTAGAGTTTGTTATTGTTATTGTGCTTGAAGTTATGTTTTACATCTAATTTGTTTTTATTTATTTTCCGCAATTTAAGCTTCATTTATTGTTCTTCTGCACTTGCTTTTACTGCATTGGTTTTGTGATTTATTTTTCTGTCATCAGTTTTAAAGTTTTTTAAAGTTGATCTTTCAATCTTGTTTTTTTGTTTAAATTTTGATTATTCATTATTCTAACCATTTATAATTTATTATAATACATAAATTTGAGATTTTTCAGTTAAATTTCTTCATCAATATCACAAATAATTTTTAGGTTTATACATTTTTTCTCTTAAAAATTAATTTGTGTTTTTAAAATAAATTTGATTTAATTAATTGAACTGTGAATGTTACATTTGAGTCTAAAAATAAATAAGTTAATTATAGGAGAAATCACCATTCCATTTCATATCTTTTTCTTATATTGCACAATTAATATTTTTATTTACTATTTACCTAGTTTTTAATGCTTTATTTACTGCATAATTAATGTTAGATTTAATTTTTTTATGTTTTCTTTGATTGTTTTCACACAACACAAAATTAACCGAATTTTCTTTTTCTAAACATTTGTAAAATGAGGCCTATAAGTACTTTTAACATTCCTTAATAATCTAATCTAAATTTTCCATCGCATATTTTTTTCTATGTTATATTGTTTGATCATATGTAAGCAATAAAATATATTATAATTACTCCTATTTTGTCCAAACATCCTAAATAAAAATAATAATAATATATATATAATGATTAAAACAAAACAAAAAAAAACTATAACATGGACAAACACATTCCCTCAAGGTTCAAACTTTCAAATGTCAAAAAAACATAATATGGTACCAATTTGAACTGATATGTAACCAAGAGCACCTCACAACCTTGTATTGATCTTCATTGTTCTTTCCAAATGTACTTCCACTTGCTTGTTAGATTTTGACTTCATATTATTGTTTTCCTTTTAAACTCAAATGGTTTTAAATCTCTTTTTCAGAGGGTTTAATTTTAGTGTTCAAGTGTTGTCTAATTTGAATATAACAATGTATTCTTTTGAGTGTTAAAAAATGTCCCTAAAGTAAAAATCTGGTCTTTGCATTTGTTACATAAGAGTGACAAGAAGAAAAAAAAAACATTTTTAATGTTTTAAACGTAATTATTATTGAACATATGATAGAACACGTCAGGGAATTTAGAATAGTGATAAAAAAAAAATTATTCATCACACAGTCGTTCTTTTTGCATATAACTCTCAACATGCACTTGTATTAGTCACATGGAATTAACCACTTCCACTAACACTGTTAACTAACAGTAATATTGTATTAACCACTTTAACAAAGTTAACTTCTTTGAATTACTCTGCAACACTTGCCACCATTACAAGGTTTTTGTGCATAAAATCATAGTTTTATAAGGGTTATTGGGTGTGTGCAGTGCAGTTAGAAAAAACGATTTTATCAAATGCATTTTGAAAAAGAGAGTAGAAATATAATACTAAATTTGGAGATGAATGAACCTCAGCTTAGGTAAACATTCACGTAAGAAAAAATATTTTTCTAACAATCTTCTTAAAAAACATTCATTTAATAATATAATATTAATTTTAAAATATTTTTATATTCATAAACTTTTTTCATGATTATTAAATGAATAAAATGTTATTTTCATGAGTTGTTAATATCAACTCTCCACTCTGAATTACCCTAAACCTCTGACAAGTACAACAGATGACCTGTATGCAACCACATCCAATGCAAATGGGCGATGATATTTTCCTACAACAGAGTAGGATGAAGGTTTTCCACCCGGGATCAAGAACTTAATGACAGTTTCCACACGGCAAAGGTTCTCTTAAATGTGGTGCAACAAGGGTTCTCTCACCTTACAGGTTTATTTCCTATTTTAATTTAACATAAAAAAAAAAAAAATACCACCAAAAGTATTGGGAGTTGTGGTGTATTATCACTCTTCAAACATGTTTATAATCATTAAAATACCAAAAAAAAAACAGAAACTACTTTTAAGGATTCTTTTAGTCTATTAAAAAATGAAAGACTACTTCAAACCAGCGTACACTTTTTAAGAATCAAATCATTCATTCTGTCGACCACATTTTACACAAAATTTTGAATGCTTGATATTTTAACAAATGATAAATAAATAAATAAAATAAAATAATAAGTTTTATAATATCCAGACACGGTTTTTAGGTTCCAGTACAACATTAAATCCACAAAATATGGTCTGTACATATATAGGCGGAGATGCAAATGTTAAGAAGAAATGCCAGCTGACCAAGACTTAATGTCAAATTACAACACTAACTGATTCATAACCAGTAATGACATGCCTACAACCCTCCAAAACACACATCTAATAAGCCAAAAGGCAATAAAATTATGCTAAGTTTTACATAAACAAAACCCTATTCGATAAAAGTACAAAACCATTATCTTCTGTGTACCACAACGAAATTGTTTTACCTTCGGAAAATTAGTACCAGCCCACAACTAAAGGTTACAAAGCATTTACTATGTGCACATCTGACTGGGAATAATCAGATTCCCATAGCAAGGTTTTTTCTAAGCAACCTTACCTCCAGAAGATCTAGAATCAAGAATCTTATTGTCGAGATATTGGGGTCATAGGCATTGATGATGCCTGGTTATAGTAATTTCCATCTGAACCCTGAAAACCCTGATATGTACTCATTGGAGGAGGGGTAAAAGTGGAAACACCATTCAGGGAAGTACCAACACCGGGATAGACTACCATTGAGGGCTGTTGTGTCATGCCATAACTGTATGCCATACTACTAATGGATCCAGCTGTCTGCATGAATGGTGGTACAGGGTACTGTGACATTGGTGGTGGTGGCGGTGGAGGCAATGGGGGAGGTGATGATGAGGGTGGAGGTGGTGGTTCATTGGGAGTAGATTGTTGGTTGGTTGTAGGAGCATTATGTTGAATAGAATCAGGAAGAGAAAAGGAAGGAAGTGATTGTTGAGGATTCTGAGATGGTATAAAGGACTGCTGGTCATTCTCTAGCTTCGTCCTCTTCTCAGAGTGATAATCAGCTGAAGACTGATTCCCTATGACACCTTCTGATGCTAGGGAGGACAACACATATGATAGCATCTGGGCAGAGGATGTTGAAGCAGTCAGTTTTGCTGCCACTGCCGCAGCTGCAGACTTGCGAGTATCTTCCTCAATATGCCCAGACTTTTGTGAAAATGACACCTGTGGTGTGTACATTAATGGAGCAGATTGCTCCCTTTCACTAGAAATACTAAAACTTGCAGATGACATGGAGGTTTGAATTTCCTTTGAGCTCTGCTCAGCTAACGACTGGATGTTATTGCCATTAAGTAACTGTTGGCAGATGTTAGTCACCCGATCTGACCGAACATGTGCAGCCTGAAATGTACAAACATCACAAATATAAGGAAAACCATGCTAACACCAGAGTAACAATATCAATACATAATACATACATGAATAACAGTAATATATCCATATGTTAGAATTAACAGTACAAATAAAAAAACATTATAATAAAAGTCATTATACTTTAAAAACAATATTGGTATCCTTCCTAAACAACAATACAATTGACCCTTCGGGATAGCTAGCTCATTACATGGTACTGAAATAAAAGTCTATTCAGACCAAGTAATAGTTCCTTTGATTCTTCCCCACCCTAACTCCCTTTCTAAACAATATGTGAATTTCAGCAAAAGGTAAGTGATAAACAATTCTCTGTTAAATAGGATAACACAGAAATATACACAATCTAAAAATACTTCACAAAAATATATTGAAAGTCATAACAGATTATAGCAGAAGCATCACACAGACAAAAATTATACAATATATACATATAGATAAATAAAATATAGAAATATATTTGTAATGCAAAAATAAGGAAAGAAACCATACAATTAATAATAATAATAATAATAATAATAATAATAACAATAATAAGTCTAGAAATTTAAATAATAATAATAATAATAATAAAATCAAATCAAAACACCACTAAGTTCAAGCTCTCAGTACTTAAAACACCACTAAGGGTGGCGCTGCAAAACAAAACAGGAAACAGAAAAGAAAAAAAAAAAAAAAAAGAGGATGGTGGGCTGTAGATCAAAAGAAAAACACAAGAAAGAGGAGGGTGGCACTTCATGTTAAGCATGAAGTGGCTCAGAGGTGCCCAAATAGACCACAAAAGGATATTTATAAATTGATTGCCATGTTAACATGTAATAGTTTCGTTGAGTTGGAAATAACTTCTCCCAATTAAATGGCAATCACTTCAGTTGATCCTTGCATAAAATATTGGATTTATTGCTAAAGTTTTAACATAAAATCAATTGACAATGTGAAGTAGCTTAACATGTATTATCACATGATATGTGGCAAGTAATATAAGACTTTTAATCACCCCCTCCAACAAAGTCTGTCGAATCAGACAATAGGTATTTTAAACACACAACAAAAAGACAACTCTTGCCCCAAGACAACCAGAAAGAAGTAAGACTTTAGCTCTGATACCATGTTAAAGTTCGAACATAAAACCAATTAACAATATATATAATAACTTAACAAGTATTACCACATGACATGAGGAAGGCAATGTAGGACTTTTAACCGATGTAGTGTGTAAAGTTGTTTGATTATCACACTATAACTTCACTTGATCAACATTCACAACTTTAAATCACAAAGTAACTAAATAATCTATATAAGCTCACAAGTGAACATTGTCATATCTTAATATTTAGTTTTATACTTGAGCAACCACATTTTGATTCTTAAATTTCCTGAACTATTGTCAACAAAGAAACAATTTCCTAAGATAGAAGGGCTAGCTATCAATAGGCAACTCAGACTGTTACACTGGTATGTGAAATAGAAAGAGAACAAGGGAAATCTTTTTATTTGAATGAAGAGCAAAACATTAAATGTGAATACAATCTGAGGGTGATCAATACAAGGTCAATCACAGAGAAATTATAGAAGCTGGAATTCTCAGCCAAAGGACCCTTATTTTCCTACTACTCGATACAATATAGAAACCCCTTTCACTAATTGACACCGAACTACTCCAACCAACTTTTGTTCCGTTTCTTTCTTAAATATACCAGTTTAATTTTAGGCCTGCTGTAAACACTACCTATCCCCTTTAAAAAGTATACCTTGTTTTCAATGCGAAAATCAAGAGCAAATTGCAAGGAAGCAAGCAGCTCCCCATAATTCTAAGTCTAGTAGGCATTCCCATTTGATTAAAAATTCAGTAGAACCTATACCACTGCAGTAATTTCAGAAGCTTCAGGTGTTGCACTTGTAACTTCAAGTTCTAAAATTCCTCAGGTTGGTAAAGGATGAGGTTGTGCAGCTCCTGGGACATTTTTATTTGAAAGGCATATATAAAAAGCAGGTGTACTTGTTGTCATTCCTCAAACAAATTAGGTCAGTGTGCTTGCACTAACCTTGGGCATTGGCTCATCAAGTAAATTGATGTCAACAACGGTCTGGTTCATATTGGAGTATACTTTCCTCATACTTTCTTTTTCTTAAGTTAGAACTCTGTAATTAACCGAGTTACTGAGTTAGTTACAGTCTGTTGAATCTAGGTTGTATCTATTGTACATACAGCTATATATAGTTATCCCTCTCTTATATCAAGTGACTTTGCTGTAACTTTTCTCATTCAATGGAACAGTTCATTTCCACTTCTCATCATTTCTAATAGTTTGAAAGGCATAGTGAGCACATTTTACCTTAGGGATCAAAAACAAAAAAGGTAATCCATCAAACTTTTACCAGAAGGTAAGATATTAATAAAAAAATAAAGCATATGTAAGATTTAATATGAAATTTTGTTGGTGATAGACAATAGCATCATAAGCTACAGCATTTTCTTTGAGGAACCAAATATAAAAATTACATTATAATATAATTTTAAAATTAGTATATCAAATTTAACCAACAACTACCAAATCAGAGTAACTGATCACAAAAAAAATGGTTGATTAACCTTGTTGTAGATGAATGAAGGAAGAATGAAAAAGAAAATGGAGTTGAACTTAAAAAGAAAAGGAAAAAAAAAAAGCACAAATTAAACATGGAGCAGCATGGTGGCAATAGAAGTCGTGGCGACAACAACCGTGGCAATGACTCAGGTCTCCAGTGATGGAGAAGTGAGAGAGATGTTTGCTGGGTTGGATTTTTTTTTTTTTGTCAGGTTTAGATGGGGCTGCTAACCTAACTTTTTTTCTTTTCTATTTTCCTACTAGTGGGCTGGGTCTCTTATAAACCTAAAAGAAAACCCACAAAAACAACAAAACATCATATTAAAAATAGAAACCCTAGTTTACCCATGCAAACCCGCACATCTTCCACCTCTCGACACAAACTGCACGGCTGTGGGAGTGAGATTTTTCCCATGACTGCTCCGCGACAGCCAAAGCAGCCGCTATGGGCCGCCATGCAAAACCCACTTTGCCACCACCTTGCCATGGCAGCAAGCAAAAATTTTGCTTCTGATTTCCACCAGGGCGACACCATGGCCATTGGCAGCCGTTTTTTAATAACACTGTCTCTATCCAATATCATTTCATTTCTTTTTCACTAGTTTCAAGTCTGCTCTATCACTGCCACATTTATCTGTTGCTGAAGCAAAGTTCTAAATTAGGTACTAGAAGTTGTGAACCATTTTCCAATAGAATAAAATAGAAGGGTAGATAAAAACATTGAAAACAGGAATATTTTAAAAGATCAAAGAAAAAGGTCCAACAGAAGAATAGAACGCAGTTCTTTCCATTTCTATATTTTATTTCCCCAGCAGATAAAGACACTGATGTCCTCATACAAAAGTTGCTCAAAATCACTGTCTTCCAGATATTCATAATGCAATTTTTGAGATATATAGAGAATGAAAGAAAGAAAGAAACTATATTACTACTCAATAAATTTGGACAAGTTCCAAACCTGAATCTGGTTACGGACTTGACCCAGCTTGAATTCCTGGGAACAAAAGGATGTTAGAAGTATATAGTATAGTTTCTTTCATAAACATATTAAAGATAAAGTCTCAAAACAGAACCTGATCTTCAAGAGCTTCTCTCAAGTGAGACAGAAGAGCAGTTCTAGATGACTCAATGGCTGTTAACTGCTCAATGCAGTCCTTCAGTACAGAATTATGGCCCTGGAGCTCATCCACTAGTGCCGAACCACTGAATTGCCCTACTATGATTGAATTTCAAACAACATACAAATAGATGCAATCAACAAGCATTCCAACTTATCTAAACACTTCAACTAAAGATACCAGGCCAAATTGCAATTTTGGCCCCCTATTTATTTTCCACTAGTTTAGCCCTCCAATTTTAGAAAATTCATTGTCATAGTTTCATCAATTGTGGGCCCCTATTATATTATTTCATGGTAGTTCCTTGAATGAATATTAGATCTGAAGTTCAATTTAACCAAAATAAAATGTAAAGGCTAGTCATAATTAACTTCCAGTAGTATAATGGCAAATATACCATAGGTCAAGGTTAATAATTAACAGCTGTATTAACATACAGTTGTAACCGACTACTTCTTCCTAACAACTGTCACACTACAACTGTACTACTGTTGGTGGTGGAGATACAATACGCATATACACTAACAAAGTGAGACCACTCATGCATGAATCTCAAATTATCTATTAAATTCAATTAAATAGGAAACAAATTATAAGTAATGATAATTTGACATACCTGAAACTATTTCTTTATCTGCTTTATCAAGACAGTTAATGGCATTCCTGCATTTGCTCAGTATGGCATCTTCATCTGTTTGCCCTCCATAAACAACTTGAAAAGCTGAAACTATTTTTTCCAATGCATTCCCTGCAGATGGCCTCTGCAATGGATAAGAATAAAGCATAAGAATACAATCAGCATGCAGAGCATATTTACAAAGCAAGTGTTTCAAATCATCTACATCAAGACAAAATTATTACCAGTTTCATGTTTGTAGGCTTCACATCTCGGCTAGTATTTTCCACATGTCTCCCAACAAACTCTTCCTTAAGAATTTGACCACGAGAACCAAAGACTTTTCTGTCGTCCCATATACCAATCTGCATAAAAGAGGAAAACATGGACACGTGGAAAGAAATTTCACCCAATGTTTCACATGATTTATTTTAAAATGAATATTAAAACTCCAACCAACAAAAGTTAAAATGTATTATGCAGAAAACAAAGCCAAGATGCATGTATAAAAAATTTTAACAAATAATGAATTATTAAGTACCAGCCGAAGTGCCGCAGTCCTGGCAAAACCATCTCCATTTTGAATCACATCTCGAAGAGCATCTGGAAGAACCTTCCAGAATTCACCTACAAACTCAGAACCTTTTCGCCTGCTGTTCTGTAAAATATCATTTGCAAGATACAGAAATGCCAATCTTTTCTCACGTGGAGAACCATGAAATTGCCTATCCCATGTTTCAACAACTTGTTTGGCTTTGTTCATATGAAAAATGCACCAATGTGACAAAGCTTAACTCGTGTTAAGGATGATATTCGAGTAGCAGCAAATATTAATGCAACAAATACAAAAAAAGAAAACAAAGGAATTGCATGAATATGTGTGTGCACTAGTGTGTGTATGTAGTGTGCGCTAGTGAACATAGAATCCCATACACAAGTTCCTCGTTTAGAAGGGAGGGATTACTCATTGCAATAACCAAAGGAGACGGGGTTCTTAGAAGTCAGTTGAAGGAGTATTAACCCCTGTCAAACATTTCAGGGATCATGTTCCAGCTTCCAAATAAAAAGTAAAGTACAAACACTGGACATTAGGTGATGTTAGACACTAAAAGCATGCCTGAACGAACTAAAAAATTTGAAAAAAGATAAGACAGCTGCTTAAACAATACAATATTGAGCAGACATTATTGCCTACAAAATGATCTTGAAGGATACTTTCTATGCTCGTTTGTGAACCATTCAGCTTGGCTAGTTTTTCCACTAAAATTTGTGGATTAAATGTGCTACCCATCTTTCAATTAGATTTGGGACAACTAATCAACTAAAATCTGAACTTTGATGAAAACCTTCAAATAAGAAAACAAAGGAAACAGCAAAATTAGGATAGACTCAATCCCAGAAAAAAAATACATACAATATACAAAAGATACATATTTTTTCATTGACAAACAAGTATATGCATCAGCTGTTACAAGAAAACACATACATTAAGCAAAATATATGAAGTAATTCTTCATAATGAAATACCCGGCTAAATGTTTTATAATAATCACAAACTAATGTATATTTCCAAAATGATAATCATATGCATAAATCAAATGCCTATGTTTTGTGGACCATAGTTGCTTGGTTCACAATAATCCAAGCTGATAAGTGTACAGTTATCTTTTCTAAATACATGAGGGGTATAACAGTTTGCTATTTAGGTTCGTGGTACAATATACAAAATCCAAGTTGATAAACTACTAATATAAAAATAATCCATAAAAGTTAAAATTTACATAAAAATAATATCAAAGTAAAACTTATTGGTTACATTTTATTTAAAATTCAAAGACATTGTATTCATGTTACATATATATACAATGCCTTTCAATCTTTTAATTTTAAATTAATACCACAATACCTACACAATCGTGTGCACCCATATATTGATCAGTTTTAACCCTAATCATGACAACAACCTACAATTACCAAAATATAAATAACAGTCCTGCAACTGGTAACCCCACCACAGAGAATCACTTAATAACAATGCAATCATCCACTAATCATTCACTAATATCTGCAATTTCCCCTTTCCCCTCACATTTCTTTTGCAGACAACATTTAGCACTAGAATTAAAACACCAGCATTTATGCAATGTCCATGCTTCAATCAGTGGTTGTGTCTTGATACATGTTCCTCAACAAATTGAAATGAAAGCACACTGCAAACTAGAAAGGCCCCAGATCCCCTATTTGTTTAGCAAATATGCAGAGAGTAAACATAGATCCAGAGCCAAGAATTCCAAATACCTTCAATTTAAATCCTTTATAAAATGAAAAATATGAGAAAATTTTGCTATGGTCATACTCCTAAGTTTCTGATACATCAAAGCAGAACAGACCAACATGTGCCATTAATTTGAAATTTACATCCCTGTTTGAACATATGTCAATAAAAGTGCAAATTTACAGATTAGGTAATTCTTTACAAGTAGTTAAGAATTTTCAACAGTAAATAATTTAGTTATATATGTGGCCCTTACTTCATAGACAAATGCACTGTCTCCACGAACAAAAGGTAGAAATAACATGGGCTTAGGCAAACCAAACTGAATTTTAGGATTATGCATATACATATTAACTAATAGACATAAAAACTTAGAGACATAAATAAATATTACATTACATGTATATAACTTAAAGGTTTGAAATAGCAGCAACCATACAGTTGCAGTTGCATTGTGATTACCTAAATTGTGATTGATACACCCACAATTGCAGTTGTGATGCTATTGCAGAGAACTGTAGAACCATTATACTGTTTTTGCAGACCAAAATTTAAAACCTAGACAAAACCCAATTGAAATTAAAAGTTTTTTAAGTTTAAAATAAACCATAAAAGTCAAAAGAAACAGTTGGTTATCAAGGTAAAATTAACATAGATATCTAACCAAATAAGCCTGTAAGGAAATAAGAGAGAAAGTCTAGGTAACCAAGCCACAGGAACAGGAAAACAAACGGAAATCTATGTAACCAGATTTGTTAAACTATACAAACAAACAAACAATGCTTAACAAGATCAAACTGTTTAATATCTAGATTGGCTGATTAGTTCTTGTTTTAATTATAAACTTGAAGTGTAAAATAAATTTTTACTACAAAAACTTAATGCTATTATATAATGCCTTGATCAAATTAAATCTGACATGTCCATTTATACACAATCTGATACAAAAATATAAATAGAAGTACAGATGTACATGCACACAGAGAACAGAACAGCAGCCCATATGGAGATGTACACCACAGACTTACACATGCTTGCTAATCATAATGACATCACATCACAAGGATAGATGCACACATGGAAGACATACACACAAGGAAAGAACACCAGCAACATGGACACATACAATAGACACACATGGACACATAAAATAGACATACATGTTTGTCAATCTTGACAACATCGAATCACAAGCATGGATGCACACACTTGGCAATATCAATGACATCAAAGTATATAAAGGAAAACAATGAATGTAAAACACACAAGTAAACACAGTTATAACTAAGATGCAAAAGATGACCAGTTCTGGAAACAACCCTAATTACCCACTTTAGAACATTAAGTTTCATTACAAGATGATTAAAGTTCACTGATGACAACAATTATGTGAAAAAAAAATACACACACAAACATGTAATGTTGTTATTGTTATAACACACACAGATGCAAGAGTCTTTAGGGTTCAGGTCGCTCCCAAAACAAGTACATGACCACATCAGCACACACCGGAATGCTTAGGGTTTAGGGTCACATCCTCACACAAGTAAGAGTGTTACTGCTATGGCCACAGGGTAAGGACTCAAATTGAATATGAAACAAACAATAACCAAAATCCCACAGAAAATTACAAAAACAAACAAGAGTTTTTGAAGGATTTTTATAAGCTAGCTCAAGAGGATTGTATATCCCAAATTCTAACGAAACCGTTTAATACTTCCATTATACACGAATTCATCAATAAATATCTTTCCACGAACCAAAAGAACAAAAAAGCGTATACAACCGCAAAATAATCATCCTTTGTCCAGTGATTATCTAAACAATAAACAAAAATTAAACATATACGAATGTAAAAACAAATTAAAATAAAAACCACATCATAATCCAAATCGATAGAAACCCCAATCAATTGCCCTATACCAGAGTAGAACAGCGAACATGAAAATAAAGCAAGCATTTAAAAAAATAAAAACAAAAATCAGAGCTGAAAAACAAATTGAGATTCCAAGAAGCGACAGATACAAGCATACATAGCAGTAGGAAGGAAGAATGCGGTTGAAGAGAAGCAGAGAATGAAGCAACGAAGGAGGATTCTGCAAGGTGGTCAGATTTTCAGGTGAGAGGAGTGCTTTGCAGACGGGAACTATTGTTTAAGTCGCAGTGAGTTGTAGCGAGGTTTTAGTTTGGGTTTGGGATTGTGCGGGTGTGGTTTTTATACGGCAGCAAGAGGCACCAACAACACAAAGTAAATCACACAAGAAAGAAAGGAAACAAAAAGAAAGCGTGATGTGTAGGGGTTCATTAGGGAGGGTGAAATTTATGTTCTCCAAACTACCCCTTGCCCTTCCTCCCAAATTGATCAAATTGACTGCTCCAACGGTTTTGTCTCTATAAACACCCTGCTTTCTTTTGCAACTATATTTTGGTCTTAATAGTAATTTTAACAAAACCCTACAGAAGCTTGCTTTGTATTTGTAAGTCTTACCTTTTCTTAGTCTACCAATTTCATGATATATTGAAACTTTTTACAAATAACCTTCGAACAGTTGAATTAAAAAAAAAAAAAAACTCCACAACTCCTAGTACTATATCCTTTATAACTACAATTTTACTTTTTTAATTGGGAATTGATTTATTAGTGTAGAAACTAAAATAAAAAGTTAATAAAATTTAAAAAAATATTTGAAAATTATATAAATTTCTTTTCATAATATATTATATTATTTTTTTTAAGTATATTTAAAATAAAAGATATTATACCGTCTAATTCCTTTTTTATCTTAATATAAGTCAAGTCTTTATAACTATTTATATTTAATTTAAGTTGTATGTCAGTTTAAATTAGATCAAGTTCTTATACATTATGTAGGTTATTTCTTAATACTTATGTATACATAAAGGTAATTAATTTTGTAATGTGCTAAAATAAGTGAGATATCATAAAAAAACTCAAATCTTGCTTCCAAAGGTATCTTAATACCTAAGATATATTAGGAAAGAAAAGGTAAAATTTATTACTTATTAATTTATAAACATTCCTTGTTTACTACAACATACAATGAATGTTTTGATTTAAAAAATGTGAGGACTCTTTGTTAAAATATTTTAATACCCCCAATGAAACACTTTCGTATATTTTTATTGTTTATGAACAAAATTTATTAGAGAATGAGACTAGAAAGTCCATTTGTTCTACCATTCGAACCATTACAGACATTATCATCGTTGAAGTCATATCAAATTTATTGTAAGTCCCAAATGAAACACTTTACTTTTTCTAACACAATCTTTTACCTCAAATATCTCACATATAAAATTTTCTTCATCCTTAGTATTCCCTCCAACGTAGACCTTCCATAACATTTGATCTAATCGATATGACTTTTATAATGTCAATCTAATACGATCTCCCTAAAGCGAACCTGATAGATATGATTTTCCTAATATCAACCTAATATGATCTCCTTAAAGAGTTGTATATAGGTCAATCTTAGGTTGTTTCATGAAGTCAAATTTGAACAATTGTCAATTATTATTAAATTCATGCTCATATTTATGACTTATCATTTGACTTAGTACATTTAGTGTTCATTAATGAGGAATTTTGTATATATATCTAAACAATATTTTAGTTGAGTGGACATAGTTTGCTTCTTAAGAATTGTCGTAAAACATCACTTTCGACCTTGG